GTAGCTAGGTCGAGGATATGTTGAACAAGTACTGATTCCTCTAGCTCGGTCATTTTCCGTGAATTGGCTAAAATATCGCGTCGTGAAGGTATACCAAGCAAAGGTCGACCTACCTTCCGGTGGTCTACAGAATAGGTCCTGGCAGCAGCTCGAGCACGTAAATTTGGGTCTTTTTGCATAGCTTGGATAGCTATTATTATTATTATTATTATTATTATTCCTTTTAACGTGCTGTGTGAGTCTGAGACTATAGTAGCACGGCTGGGGGTTTCCCTCCAACAGATGAGCTTGGATAGCTAAGACTAACCGGCTTTCGTCATTTTTCAGAGGCATCCTTCGTTATAGAGAAATTTAATATTTCGTGGAGGTGTGGTGGGGTCGCCGGGTTTTGGCCGGTTCGCTATACATGCACGTTATAATTAGTAGAGATTTACTTCCTTTAATATAGATTTATACTTAAGCGCGGACGTATAAATAAGTATTCTTATACTGAGTATTATGGTTAACTCGTATATTTTGGTGCATAGATATATACCCTAGTTCCTAGTAAAGAAAACAGACATAGACAACTTGACATCAGAAGGTACAAAGTTAAGAAATCACTTGAACATTGGCTTTGAGATTATAATTGTGTAACTAGTCTAGAACAACAGAATTACAACGAAGAATACCAGTTACTTGAAAAAAACACCTTTAAGTCGTAAGATCTTTTTTAGAATTCTATTATATGAGCTCTTTTAGGTAACGGAAATGAAAGAACGTTCTTATTCGCACTGGTTGCAAGAAAAACCACCAAAAGCATACTGTTGTCTCATTGGCCCATTAGATGAACCACCCTCCTAGCGCAACCTCTCCGATCTGACGATATACCCACGCGTCGGAACCCCACTTGTCTCTGTCTCTCAGTACACATTCACATAATTCAACTGTACTTCCAAACCTCTCACACCTTTGTAAATGCCCGCCCTCTTTCTCAACTGCGCCTACAACTTAATGCTCCCCTAGTCGTCCTCAAAGTCCTCAACTAACCCAGTGCTCTGATCGCGAGGGAGGCACTGCCTCTACCAAACGTCGCCATCCCAACTCAGAATGCGTACTTTGCCTGGGTCTTCACAAGATTTATGGACTATTACCATGGCTGGCAAGTTACCCTGAATCTCACGATAATCAAGCGAAGACACGCCTCGCTAACGAGTCTTTAGGAGTATCTACAGCGTCTCGTCGGCTATTGAAGGTGATGGTCGTACCCACTACCATGTCTGGCTCACTAGTGAGCTGGTGGAGGAGGTCGGTTCTCCTCCACCACCGTACGAACCATGAAGTGCCCAAGGCCCTCCAAATCCACGAAGACTGCAAACTTTTGCTGACCGAATGAACGAAATCGGCTACAAAATGGATACAACGAGCAGTGGATCACTCCAAAACAGTTTATTCAAGGTCGAAGCATGAATCTCCGAGAAGGGTGCTGTCGATTAGCGGGTGGAGGATGAGTCGGTGGTGATTGTGGAAGCCCGTGTTTGTTATTCTGGGACTCGGAACGAGGATAATCGAGAGCTATAATCTCGTGAATGGAATTTTCCTTGGCTACTTAATACTTCTCGTTTTTGATATACGTGATTCGGAATGTTTGCTGTAAGTGGTGGTTGAGAGTTTTGGAAGTGTTGCAGTCAAGGTCGCATTTCGCGTTTTGGAAGCGGGCTGAGAAAGTTGAGTATATTTCCTTGGTTGAAGGTTCGCCCCTCTCCCAGCAGCTTTTTTGATCTCTTGGTTATTCACTGATACTTCTGGAATGCCCATTGACCTTGCAGGCTGTATTAACCCCAACAACCCGCCTAATACTTAGCCGTTGCCTCCAAGTTATTTTCCCTTCGCTTAATACCAGGACTGGAAAAGTCATGGTGGCAGAGGCCGTATACTCAACTTCAACTATGACATATGTTTTAATTATGTTTCTCTCTCTTCTCGTAGTTCTGATGGTTTCGGTTCTCTTTCACAGCGTCGTGTTTCATAACGTTCTTCACAACATAACTCACAGGTGGTTTAGCGACCCTTCTGAAGTAGTTCATAGAAATCTCAGCTATTAAGGATGTCAAATCAGACAGACCATTCAATACATCAGACAAGATGGATCATTGAATCTTAGGTGGTCTCTTACTATCATCCAGACAATGTGAATAATCGTACGCAGCTGGTCTGAGCCACAGAAGATCAGAGGTTATTGAATACAAGCAGGTGGCTATGTCTATTATTCAAGCAATCATACAATCACAGGTCTGAGGTTATGCAAAATTCTATGCTAGCTGTTGACTAACATCCCAAGTAGATTCAACTATAAAGCTCAGACTAGCCACCCAAAACCATCTCAAACCCATCCTTAACTAACACAACAAACAACACTCCACCCCGCTCACCAAGTTTCAAGAACAACATCTCTACACAACCCACCACAATGGCACCCCCAACCCTCCTCACAATCGACAAAGATATACGCACAAGGATCCTCAAATTCTTCTTGGTCGCCTCGGACAAGATCCATCCCAAATACGCCAACTTCTCTACAAACCCAACGAAGCAGTATCTCAGAACACTATCCTTGGTGTGCAAACAACTACACGAAGAAGCCCTCGCTATCTTCTTCACCAAGAATACTTTCTGCTTTGAGCTGGGTCAATCGCGAGGCGAGTCCCGTGGTCCTGCTATGTTGCGTAAGTCACCTATTGACTCAAGTCTCCTTGTACCAGCGCCTCTGTGTTGTCCACTCCTCTATCACATCAAGGGTATTTAGACGACGCACAGAGATCCAACCCAACTTGAGGCCATCCCTACACTATACTCTAAAAAAAACCCCCTACTAACATACCCACACAGACCCCCTATTCTTCAGCACATTCGGCGCAAGCCCCACCAGAAAACTGATGGAAAAACTAACCTTCGAGCTCTTCAACCCCCGACCGCGCATAGGAAAAAACAGCACACACCGGCTCCTCGGACACGGCGGCCGCAACACCTTCGGCTCGCCCATCCAGCTCCCGCACATGCTAGGAGACCGCAACTCGGAGACCGCATTACAAGGTTCCATCGATAGTCTCCCCCTGTTGCCACACATCAAAGAAATCACGATCGTCCTCAAGATCCCGAGTCACTTCCAGCTGTGCGAATGGCACTTCACTTACTACACCGAGAAATACGGTGGCATGGCACCACTCCATCAACGTCCTCCGAACGAAAGAGCCCCGGGTGGGAAATGCTCCGGCAACCAAGACAAACGACGGGTCGATAATCCATATCCATTCCCTCGATATGATTTAAACAGGATCTACACATTACTCAAGGAGCTCAATGGCAAAGCCGCTATTCGGGTCGTATGGGAGTTTTCTCTCGAGAGGACCGTGGTGAGGAGGGAGGTAAACCCTCGAATGAGGAGATCGAGTGTGATTGGATTAATCTGCAGTTCCTGCGTGCGATCTTTGAGATGACGAAGGAGGGGTATAATTCTGGAGAACTGCGGCGTTGGTATGAGACGCTTGAGGTGCCGAAGGATGGATGTAAGTCGGAAGAACTCCAGCTTTGGTGTGAGACGATGGACATTCCGGGAAGTGATCGGATTGATTACCTGTACGCGACGGAAGATTCTTGATTAGGATAATCGTTTACAACTAAATTTAACCCTTTTCAAGAAATAAATGATTAACGCTACCCTCATTTCTAATTTTTCCCTTATTAATGTTCTGAGAAGATCCAAACGATCTAGCTACATCGGAACCAAACTCTCTCATAAAGCTATATTAAACGGCAAAAGACAAAAATGACACCCAATAATTCAATAACGACAGAGATTCCACCTGTACGCCACTCATTCTTTTTATATGTGTTTTACATACAAATTTAATGAAAATAGAACTTATAGTATTTCTATCCCTTAATATCCCCTCTTCTGTATCCCAACATTCTCTCTAAACACTCCTATATAACAGTAACTAGCCATATATTCCCAACCTCAAAGCGCACACACTATCACCGAAACGGTAGTAAGATTAATTTAGTTATTTCTAAGGATATTACTTATAAATAAGAAACAACGAATATCGCCTAGTAGTAAGTAATTAAAGCAAACAAACAAGGAATTAAGTAAATTAAGTAAATTAAGCGAATTAAGGCTAATAAACCAGGAGATAGACGTAACCGTAAGGGCAGGGAGTATAAGGCTTAACTCCTAAAATCGATATAAATTAGCTTAAGAGGTATTAAGAAATAGTAAGTAGTTAGTGAATTTACTTTGTTCGTTATTTTTATAGTACCTTGCTTACGAAATCTGGTGAAGAGACAAAATCGCTATACTAATAAAAATACTACTTTTTAGCGACAGAAATGTCACCGATGATACAAACATTACTTTACTAGTAATTTTAATAGTAAAGCAGTGACATGACACATAGATATCATTTCTGTCGTTATTAAGTGGCATGTTTGTCTTTTGCCGTATTTTAAGAATTCTTGCCACATATCTAGATCTTGTAAGCTGTACAATACCTCATTTCAGAATTTACGTTGTCGGTCTTGGAAAAATACTTTTCTTGCACTGAATACTGTACTCCACCCTACCATACAAAGACCCTTGATACTGTTTTCTCTTCTTGTAAGAACACCCTCTCACGTACTTCTCCCATTCCCCCCTTCCCATGATAAACCCATAAACCCAACAACCCCAGAAACAAAACAAAAGCAATACCCCATCCTCCCATCCCCCACCAATTTCAAACCCCTCATCCCAACACCCCC